GGGGGCGGGGGCGGGGCTGGGGATGACGGGCGGGTAGCCGGGCTGGATTGGGCCGCCGTTGCCGCCGTCGCCTCCGTTGCCGCCGTTACCGCCGTTGCCGCCGTCACCTCCGTTGCCGCCGTCGCCACCGTCGCCGCCGTTGCCACCGTCACCTCCGTTGCCACCGTCACCGCCGTCGCCTCCGTCGCCTCCGTTACCATCCTCGCCTTCTTCGGGTGGGGGAGGAGGAGTGGTCTCAGAAGAGATGGCGCCTCCGCAGTTAACGTTCGCGGGCCAGTCGCAGACCTGGTTTTCCTACAAACAAGATATGGTTAAGAATCCATAGTTCCATTATTTCTTGAAATGCAACGAACCAATGTCAAAAATATTTGTAGTTTTTACGGGAAAGTTTCTATGATAAATGTTGTGCAGTTAAATTTAAAATCAGTAAATTATGCTGACTTAAAATTCTGCAGAAATTCCGAGAAAAAATATGTGTCGGAAATAAACACTACCGATTGTAGGTAGCAAACGTCGTTTGTCAATCGCGAACTTCATAAATCAATTTACTTAGATACTTATTACAATTATTTTGCTCAATAACTTACCTCGCTGTAGTCGAGGCCGGGCGGGCAGTTGAACTCGATGGGCTTGCCATTGTCGCAGACGTAGAAGGTGCCGCACTTGGTGGGCGACCTGTACCGGTCGAAGGGCGACTTGCAGCCGTTCTGTCCGGGCTTCGGGGGGTTGGGTGGCAGGGTGGGGTAGGTCGGGGGCTCGGTGGGTGGCAGAGGGGATGGTGGTGTGGGAGCTGCCGGACAAAACAAACTCAATTAGACGACCAGTTTTAATTGTCCAGTAAAGTATTTTTGGGAATTTTTTCAAGTAATTTTCAAAAACTTCAGTTTTTTCTGATGTTTTACTTTTACCCAATTTTTCTGGAAATATTTCAATCTGTTTCCTAAAAGTTTAGGAATTTGTTTTTGGAAAATTTTCAGACTTAGTCTGACTTTAGTGTGAAGTACGTGGAATTCACCCTGTCCTTTGTGTTTGGTCATATGATACTCACGGAGGGGGTTGGGCCTGTCTCCGCACTGGACGTTCTCGGGGTAGTCGCAGTAGCTCTTCTCCGGGTTGAACAGCAGGCCGGTCGGGCAGTTCTGCTCTACCGCGTCGCCGTCCCAGCAGTTGATGAACTTGCTGCAGTCCTTGGGGTCGGGGAACTGGCCGCGCGGGTACTTGCACGACTTGAGCAGCTCCTGCTTGATGGGGTCGGGGGTGGTAGGCTCCGGGGCAGGGGTGGGGTACGGCTCCGGGGTGGGCTGCGGCTGCGGCTGCGGCTGCGGCGGGTACTCGGGGATGCCACCTGGGGGCCTCTGAAAACGGTAAAAAATTGTAATTAGACTATTAATTTTTAAATCGAAAAATATTTTTAAAGTAAGACTTCACACTTTTATCGTGCAAGAATGCCATAACATGTAAGACTCAAGTAATGGGAATTTCGGTGAATTCAAACCCACCTGTGGGTAGCCTCCGGTCGGCGGCTTGGGCGGCGGGCTAGGGTTTTCCTCGGCGGGCAGCTCGGGGGTCGGCGGTGGGTAGATGGGCCCCGGGTTGGGCTGCCCCGGGTACTGGTACAGCGTGGGGTACAGGCTGTTGGCGGGCACCTGCACCCACACGGTGGGCACGGCGTTGACTGGGCCGCGGAACTGAGCGGGGCCGTACGACTGGGAGGGTGGCAGCTGGTAGAAGACGCCATCTGAAACACACAACACGGCCTCGTCAGACAAAAGCTCCAGGGGGTAGGAGACAATACAATTTCTGCAAGGGGGGAAAAGTGCAGTTTATGCGGTGCGGTACACCAAAATATCAAATCAAAATAAAACTTCACCGTTCAATAAGTCTGCAGTGATTCTAAAAAATACCAATCATACGCAGTCATATCAACATGTTTCTCTTCTTTTTTTTGGGGGGGGGGGGGGATGATGTGGCGGGCGTGCTTAAGAGGCGCCGCAGACCGTCCGGTCGCTAAATCCCTATACGAGAGGATGAGCGAGACGGCATCATCGGTTGTATTATTTTTGTCGATCGCTGCTGCCGCTGGACCGGCAAGCTGCTGTCCCATTGTCCTGTGTTTTGTTTGCGTTCTGCCCCGGAAAGCCCGCAGGATCAGCGTCCCGAAAAATGTTTTCGGACCACACTTAAAGATTTATAATTTGTTACATGAGCATATATCTGCGGCTTGTAAAAACCATACACAATTTGGAAACAAACTTTACGGACGCATATCTGTAGGTGGCGTCGTGTCGTCCTTCATAACAACCCGCTCCCGGCGGTGGACATTCGGTCCGGAGTTTATAAAGTGGCGTGTGTCCGTCCACACCGCCGCACAGTCAGCCGGATCAGTCAGTAAACCAGTCCAACACTTACAATAAGTAGCATTTTTAAAATCCGAAAATTTTCAACAACAAAA